CTCTCTCTCTCTCTCAAGCGAGCGTTTCCTGGATTGTTTCAGACCGTGAATGTGGAATTGTACATTCTGAAATTCGAGTTCCTGTGGAGCTCGATTGCTTACATGGGGGGGGGAGGGGGGGGGAACTCTCTCTCTCTCCCCCCCCTCTCTCTGTCTCCCTCTCTCTCTCTCTCTCTCTCTCTCTCAGTCTCTCTCTCTCAGTCTCTCTCTCTCTTTTTTATTTATTTTTTGCTTTCTCTTTGTTGGTTTTGTTTTTATAAATGAAGCCATTCCGACTACCGGTTGCTCTAGGCTCCGCCAGGCTCGGCACACTGGTAGCAGGAGGCTTGAAGTTGATAGCTGGGCGAAGTGCTGGACTTTTAAGAATTGCGCCCCACATGCCAGCAGGCAATGTTCTCCGCAGGTACACTTTGGTGCGCACCGCCAGCCAAAGGCAACAAATATCCACCCAATTCTACAGCAAGAAAAGGGCAAAACTGCCAACTGTCTGCACGGGGAAAATGACCCTCCCAAGATTGCCCAGACAACGAGGTGGCTATTTGGTATTCGGGGTCCGAAGTACTTGATACCACCGCAACGTTCTGGCTGAATCAAAATATCCCAAGACACTTTTGGGAGAAAGGCCTTCTCACCAGTTTCCTCTTTCCACAAATAGCGGGTAACCAGCAGGCGGATTGAGCGCAACAACGTAGCGTCCAGGGGGAAAATAGCCCGGCGATACGAAAGTGTAGCCAGCACAGCGTTATTTAGAACCAATCCCCTTCCAAACAGGCTGACACCTTTCGGTGCAGTCCATGGGGACATGCTTTCCGGACATCTAACAAAGCTTCGGCAGAGTTTAGTCATTAACTGTGGGGGTGGAAGAAATCCGGTGGCCCAGCAGGCGCTCCTACTGGGGCGGGCAATGTCACCCGAAGCCCCCAATGATACGGAGGGGGATCCCCTGGCAGAATCAAAACCGCAGACTTGGATCAGTTCACAGCGGCCGGCGAAATGTGGTAAGACAATTGAACAGTTGCACGAAAGGCAAAGAAGGCTTTTTTTTTTTTTTTTTTTTTTTGAGCAAGGTGGTGCAACTCTGTAACCTAGCCGGATGGGAGCATGAGGCCTGGAAGAGCTTCGGTTCGTGCTGAAAACAGCCATGCTGGTGGTGGTCGC